TGCTCAGAAAAACAATTTCACACTGTGGTAAAGCACTGGCTATTCAAGCATAAAGATCCGAGTTTGATCTCTAGAACACATAAAAAAGCCAGGCGCACACTTGTCATCCCAGTGCTGAGGAGAAGACAAGTGGCTCCTTGGGGCCCGATGCCAGCTAGTCTAGTCTAATTGGTAAGAGACCCCATCTCAAAAACAGATATGGGCTGGTGAGATGGCTCAGCCAGTAAAGGTGTGTGGAAGGAGAGAACCAACTCCCTAAAGTTGTCCTCTGACCTCCACATGTGCATCATAGCAAGTGTGTGGCCATACACATGCACACATACAAATAAATAAATATAACAAAAACACATTAAAAAACAGAGGGACGCCAGGCATGGTGGCTCATGCCTTTAATCCCAGTCTCGGGAGGCAGAGGCAGGTGGATCTCTGTGAGTTCGAGGCCAGCCTGGTCTACATAGTGAGTTCCAGGTCAGCTGGGGCTACAGGGAAGACCCTGTCTCAAAAAGACTAAAAAAACCCAAAAAAACAAAAAAACAACAACATATGGACAGCAGATGAGGGATGGCACTTGAGGGTTGACCTCTGCCCTCCACGTGCACACATGTACATAAGCATCCACACACATGTGCACCCACTCCATGAACACACATGTAATACAAGGAAGAAGCCACCTCCAACTTTAACAAATGTGTATTAGTCTAGAGTACAGACAACACTCATCAGCCCAGAATCTTGTTCCAGTTTTTAACTGGGCACAGCGCACATCACAGGCAGCTGCCTCCCAGCATCCTTTGCAGTATCGTGGCAATGAGACTAGGGAGGCAAGCAGATATCAAAGAATGATTTTCTGTAAGTGTTCAGGGGGAAGGGTTTCTCCCTCTGTCCTTGGAGTTTCAGTTGCCACAGTAGTTCCTGGTGCTGAAGATGTGAGGTGGAGGAAGAGAGTAGATAGAGCCCTGATCCCAGATAATCACCAGCCATTGTGTGCCAGCTCTTGGTCATTTCCCCATAACTGAGAGTGTGGGGAAGGCCCATGGGTTTGAGCCAGTGGACTTTGTCTTTGAGCCAGATGTCCCCCTGCCCATTTCACGGACCAGCAAACAGAGAATCAGAGGTGAAATCTTAGCCAGATAGACAGCCCAGCCAGAGGCAGGGTTTTCCCACTCCTCCAATCCATTAGCTTATCACACCAGGTGGCTTCCGGAAGAGCAAAGCAGAGATTCTCAGGGCCTGAGGGAAACCAGCTGTTGGACAAAGGCACCGATGTTTAGCTGTGAGATGCACAAGCTCTGGGATGAAAGGTGCAGCCGGGTAGGGATGACTGACAGCCTGTGACCATTGTTAGTTGGTGCATTGGTAGGTCAGGTCATCACACCGTGTGCACTGAGTACACACATGCTCTGTCAAGTAAATATTCTAAAAGAGACGTTTTTGGGGGGATTGCTCTGTTTACCACCTACCCAGATGTGTTATTCTAAAAGACTCTCCTGTAGGGGGCTCTGAGGCCCCAACTTGCACCAGCTCTATGAGGGTGAGGGCAGTGTCCCCATGTGAATAAGAGCAGAGAGGGGCTAAGGCTGTGTGTGAGCCCTGCCTCATTCACATGTTGAAAATGGGCTGAAATTTCAGAGATTGAGGCAAACCTTGTAACATAAACCTTTTAAAAACCAAAATTAGGGGCTGGAGAGAGTTCAGCTGCTATAGTACCTGCTGCACAAGATGAGGACCTGGGTTCGATCTCTAGAGCCCACATAAAAAAAGGCAGGTGTGATGACACAGGTTTGTAGTCCTGGCACTGGAGAGGCAGAGGCAGCTCATTGGCCGGTCAGCCTGGCCTAATTAGTGAACTCTGGGTTCAGGGAGAGTCACCATCTCAAAAAGGTGGGTGGCATCTGAGGGACAACACCCAAGGTTGACCTCTGGCCACACATGTGCACCAGCACCTCCATGCACATGCACGTGTTGCACGCACACACACTCACACCCACCACCCCAAAGTAATGCAGAAGAGTCTGTAAACCAACCCCACACAGTTCAAATTCAGGACTCTAGTGTGCATTTGGGGGACCTGGCTCCCCTAAACCCAGTGAACTTCCCAGTAAGCCCTGGGGTCAGGAGCAAGCAGTGACCTGTGGGGCTGCTGTGCACTTGGGGCTGGCAAGATGACCCAGCAGCTAAGAGCACTTGCTGCTCTTGCAAGGACCTGAGTTTGATTCCCAGCACCAACATCAAGTGGCTCTCAACAGCCTCTAACTTCAGTTCTAGGGCATCCAACACCCTTCTTCTGGCCTCCCTGAGCATCTGTACTCGTGCGCGGTGCGTGCGTGTGCACACACACACACAATTAAAAAGAAAATAAATGATATTTAAAAAAAATATTGCAGTGGGTTGAGTTGCGGCTCTGTTGGTAGAGTGCTTGCCTGGCATGCATGGAGCCCTGGGTCACAAGCCCAGCGCAGAATAAACTGGTGTGGTGGTGTGTGCCTGTATGTACTGAAGAGGTAGAGGAAGGAGGATGAGGAGTTCAAGGTCTTCCTTGACCGGGACACATATCACCTGATCATGATGATACCATGCTCAAAATCCAGGAATGAACACAACTTCCTGTTAGATGTTAAGCAGAAGGTCGAACACTCAGCAAAGAAGCACGAGGTTGTTTGTTACCGGCTTTGGCTGGTTCTGTACTGGGGCCTTCACATCAGGGGTGAGGGAAGCAGAAGAGAACCCAGCCTTCACCAGCACCCAACCAGAGCTTGCCTGTCTGTGGCACAAAGCAACCTTCCCTGATGTGATTCCCAAACTCCAGATTCTTTTTTTTTTTTTTTTTCTCTTTGAGACAGGGTCTTACTCTGTAGCTCAGGCTGGTCTTGAACTCACAACCCTCCTAAGTGCTGGATTATAAGCATGTATCACTATATTCAACTTTATTCCTTTTTTTTTTTTTGGTACTGGAGATGGAACCCAGAACTTCATGTTTGACAAATGTTCTACCACTGAGCTGCATCCCCAGCCTGCAATCTTTCTTTTCTTAATATATTTTTACTTTTTATGTGTATGAATGTTTTGCCTGCATGTATATAATGCTTGCAAGGCTAGAAGAGGGTGTTGGATCCCCTGGAACTGGAGTTCTGGATGGCTGTTAGCCACCATGTGGGTGCTGGGAACTGAATCCAGGTCCTCTGTAAGAGCAGCCAGTGCTCTTACCATCTGAGCCATCTTGCCAGCCCCTCAGCCTTTTTTTTTTTTTGAGATTGAACTTCATGTATCCTAGGTTAGTCTCAATCTCAGTATGTAACTAAGGATGACCTTGAATTTTTTTTTTTTTTTTCCCTTTGGACAAGGTCTCACTATGTAACCTTGGCTGGGCTGGAACTTGCTATGTGGCCTCGAACCCGCAGAGATCCACTTGCCCCTGCCTCCTGGGTACTGGGATTAAAGGGGTGTGACTGGTTTATGTGGCACTGGGGATGGAACCCGGGGCTTTGAGCATGCCAGACAAGCATTCTACCAACTGAGTTATAGTTCCATGTTTTCTGAAAGCTTTGGGGTTTTTTTGAGAGCATATATAGCTTAGACTAGCCTGGCTATCCTCAAGCCTCAGTCTTCTGAGTGCTGGGATTACAGGCCTGCAGTACCACAGCCAGATGAAATTCCTTTTTAAAATTATTATTAAGCAATTCCCGCTAACAAGCAGTATTCCCTTGAAGGACATTCTCAGCTGTGTGCAAACCCTATTCATGACTGCCAGAATGTCTGGCCTCTTTCATTGGACTCACAAGGCTCTTTTGTCAACTTAGATCAAATCGCTATCCTGGAGGGCTCACTCGGACTGTGGACCAGAACTGGCTCATCACCTGTTTATGAAGCTTCATGGGATGAACACCTTTTTCTTGCCATCTTTGGTTGCTTTTGTGGTCAAGCTACAGAACTGAATGAGTTCAAAAGAGACTTCGTAGTCCAACAATGCCTAGAATAGTTAATACCTGGCCCCAAGCTTTTTGCTTCCCCATGTACTGTGAACCCAAACTTGCTAAGTGATACCAGGTTGGGTCTAAGGCCCTCTGAGTCCACAGTTGTTAACTCAAAATGCCTTTGAAAAGGCTGACCTCTTTTCTGTTTATCATATGATTTTCATCTCAAAGGGTTAACAACCTTCTATCTCTAGAAAGGCACATAAGGGTCATGACAAAGGGCAGGAGAGTCCCCACAAGTGCATGAATGCATTTAGTAAGGGATAAGATGGCCACAAGCAACAATCCCACAGGAAAGTGCTGAAGAGTTCTCTTAAGGTATCTGCTGATACCTGTGTGGTGCCGTGGTACCTTATGATCTTTTCTTCTGGCACCGGTGTCAACAATACCCTACCACGTGCCTGCTGCCAAATTTCAACAGTCAGGTTTGTTCAAACCACTGTCAGAACAAGCTACCTACTTTTTGCCTTTTCAAGCTAGGCAGGTGCTGTAGCACTGAGCCGTGCCCCCAGCCCCTCACTGGGGGATTCTAGGCAGGTGCTGTAGCACTGAGCCGTGCCCCCAGCCCCTCACTGGGGGATTCTAGGCAGGTGCTGTAGCACTGAGCCGTGCCCCCAGCCCCTCACTGGGGGATTCTAGGCAGGTGCTGTAGCACTGAGCCGTGCCCCCAGCCCCTCACTGGGGGATTCTAGGCAGGTGCTGTAGCACTGAGCCATGCCCCCAGCCCCTCACTGGGGGACTCCAGGCAAGTACTCTATCACTGGGCCATGACTCTAGCTCACCTCCTGCTATTTCCCAAGGAGAATGTTCCCTTGCATTCAATCAATAAAAAATCATGATTTTTTCCTAGTTTACCAACAATAGATATACTTAGTACAATTTCAAAAGCATAACTGTGTAGCTTAATGAGACATAACTTTTTATTTTTTAGACAAGGCTTCATGTAGTCCAGGCTGGCCTTGAATTGCTGACCATCCTGCCTCTACCTCCTGAGTGCTGAGATTACAGACGTGTGCCACCACAACCAACTCATACAAGAGCTTTTATTAAACAAGGTCAGTATTTGAAGAAAACAGGCTGAGGCAGAACTCAGCACTCTGGATAATTGATGTGTCTACCTGCATTCCGGAGACTCCAGGCTTTGGTGCAAGTAAGAGACTTGCTTGGAGGAAGGCCAGGTTTTTGTAACATCTATTTGGAAGGAGGTTAGACTTTCCCTTGTGTGGTGCTTATCAAAAGCCAGGTACCCCGTATGATGGGAAAGATGCCAGACTTGAGCTGTTCTAATCACCACACGCCCCAGAACCAGGGCCTAGGTCTCACTGGGTCCCACAGACTTTTCTTTCTCAATTCAGTCCCAACTGCAGGATGGGTTAGGGTTTGCTTGATCTTTGGCGCCACCATCAGATCAAACTGTATTCCACATTCACTGCAGGACTAATTCACAGGGAGACCCTAAAAGCATGTGCAATCCAGTTATTGACTAGGGCAGGGCTGGGGATGGAAACTCTCCACTACAGCCTGTGGAGGCATGCAAAGACCGACAGCTCCTCTCATCCCTCTATAGATAACTTTGCTCTTTTATTGCAAAACAGAGAAAAAAGACCACATAAATGTATAAGGCAAACACTCTTACAACCACAACCTAGAACTTTTCCAGGGATCCCAGACCCTCGTGGACTCCTTCCCACACACAGATCAGTTTAGTGGGTATTTTTGGTCTTTTTGAGTCTCCCTGTAGCTCCAGGTGCCTGGAACTCACTCTGTAGACCAGGCTGGCCTCAAACTCACAGTGGATCCACCTGCCTCTGCCTCCCAGTGCTGGGATTAAAGGGGTGCACCACCATGCCCCGCAAGTTTAGTTTTAGTGTCCTGTGATATGTACTAGTTTCATAACCCCATGAGGGAAAGATCAGTTTTCAAATCAGAATTCATATCAAGCAGCTCTCCCCCATGGGCAGAATAGCGCTCAATGCACCGCCCCCCTCGCCCCCCCCCACCTTTCAAGGACCAAAAGTCACAGCGTACTTTGGCAATGCTTGTAGGGACAGCAGCTTTGCTGTGGACAAGTCTCCGAGGTGTTGCTTTGGTATCTGTCCGGGCTGAATGCTGGGGAGGTGGGAGCTGAGGCTCTAGAACTAAGAGCCCTGTGGTGTCACCATGGGAGGCTGGTACCAGCTTTGTCCAGACCATCATGGCTGCACTAAAGGTCATGGCTGGGATCCAGGGATCCCTCGAGCTGCCCCACAGAGACCAGGGGACCAAGCTGCCCGGAAGCACTGCTCTCTGGGGGAAAGGTGACCAGGTTTGAGTTCTTGTTCTCATTCTGGTCACTGTGTTGCTTCTGATGGCACCTCAGAGAGTCATCCCTGACAAAGGAGGCCCCGCATGTGTCACAGTGGAAGGCCCTCTGGGTGAGGATCTTGACCACAGGGTGCGAGCTGCCCTCCCTGGGTCCGTCCTTGCCCTGCGGGGCCCTGTTCTCCGTCTTGGCCTCCTCCCTGTGCACCTTGTCAATGTGCTTGGCCAGGCTGCTGGGCCGCTTTGTGTCAAAGCTGCAAAAGTCACATTTGAAGGGACGGTCCTTGCAGTGGACCCTGCTGTGCACACGCAGGGCGGCTGCGCTGGAGCAGGAGTAGCTGCATTCCGGACACTTTTCTGGATGATCAGCCTGGTGCAGCCGGCTGTGTTCGAGGAGGTCGGCCCGGTCCCTGCCCTGGAAGGCACAGTGCAGACACTTGAAAGTGTGCTTGATGCGAATGTGTGACTTGAGGTTCGCCTTCATGGTGCAACGCACATCGCAGAATTCACACTTGAAGGGCTTCTCCCCAGAGTGCACGATCATGTGCCTTTTCAAATCTGAGCTGATTTTGAACTTGGCGCTACAGAGCCAGCACTGGAAGGGGGTGTCCCCTAGCAACGGAAGGTGTGTTTCCATTAGAGCAGGCAGGCAACAGGGAACTCCCCACCCCCACATACACCACATTCCTGGACATAATGAGACAAGTGGGTCTTTGGAACTCTGTGTTCAAGTTTCTGATACTAGTAACACCATGTATAATAACTCACTTGGTACTGTCACCCTATTTTACAGATGGGGCATCTAGAGACTCAGACAGTTAAAGCAGCAGAGACCCAAAATCAAGTATCATGGCCCTGAAGTCCACACCAGATGACACTTGAGTTCCAAATCTAAACTCATTTAACTTGACTGGAAGGCATGCAATGCACATTGCATACCCTATTGGCCAGATAAGATTGATGGACAGCATACTATTATGTATCAGTTATTTGGCCTGTGTTACCAACCTTTCTTAGTTTTCTAACTACAGATTGATTTTTATATATAAAGTTAACACAGGCCTTCTCTGAAGGCCCTGCTGCGGTTTTCCAGCATCTTGGAGGTGGTTAGGAGAGTCATTACCAGCTGGTTATAGGCCAATACAAGACCCATGCTGATCCTATCCATCAGCTCCATGTTCTTGGCAATGATCTCTGCCTTCTGAAATGAGCAGAGTGAACACCTTAGTCCATCAGAGTGGGAGGCTCTTTTGGGAGTCCTTTTTCTTTGCACTAACCCCCACCCCCTATTTGCCAAGAGTTGCTTTATTTATATACTTAAGTTCAAAACCATTTCCATTCTTAGTGGGTGTGGTGGCTCATGCCTGTGATCCCAGCACTCAAGAGGCTGAGGCAGGAGGATCACTGTGAGTTTGAGGTTTGCCTGGACTACAGAGTCTCAAAAAGCCAAAACAACAGCAGTAATTAGAAAATCAGGGCTGGGGTGATGACTCAGTGGGTAAAGTGCTTGGATGACAAGAGTTTGGATCCCCAGCACCCACCTCAAAAAGCTAGATGTTAGCTGGAGAGATGGCTCAGCAGTTAAGAGCACTGGCTGCTCTTGCAGAGGACCTGGGTTCAGTTCCCAGCACCCACATGGAGGCTAACAACCATCAGTAAGTCCAGTTTCAGGGGAACCTGATACCCTCTTCTGGCCTCAATAGGCATTGCATGCTTGGGTACACATACATGGAGGCCAAATACACACATAAAATTTAAAAAAGAGCTAGATGTGTGTATGTGTGTGTGTGTGTGTGTGTGTGTGCGTGCCTGTAATCCCAGCACCGAAAAGGGGAAATAGAATCCCTGGGGCTTGTTGGCTAACCAGTGTAGCTAATTGGTAAGCATCAGATTCAGTGAGAGACCCTGTCTCACAAAAATGGTGGCCAAGCGATAAAGAGGAAGACACCTGAGTTGTCCTCTGCACCTTGACACACATGTACACATCCACATGAACCTGTACACATGCACATACCACATACATGCACACGTACCCAATTTAAAAACAAACAGGTAAAATTTCTATTCTTTTCTATGAATTCCCATACTTTGGGAGTTTTCAGATTTCAACTTTAGGATTAACGTACAAATAATTTTAAGTTAGGACTGAGTATGTGCTATCTACTGGAGCCCTAACTGTACCAAGATTGCACCCACCACTGCACAGGGCCACTGTAGGAGGCATTTATACTACCAAGGTGAAACCACTCTCTTTCTCCCTATAGACTCATTTGGGGCTGCATTTAACTTTTTTGGATTGGTCTCTGCATTTCCTAGAAACAGGCATCTCACATAATCTCAGAACTCATCTGGTTCTTGTTTCCTCGTTTTTAATGGGTTTCTTAAATTCTGATATGCTTCCCCCCCACTTGCATTCTGGCCAAGTGTCATCCTGAGCTTCCTCTTTGATGCTGGACCAATTAGCTGTATTCAGAGAGTCATGCATCAAATATCTCATGACAGATGTTATCACCTGTTTAACTTGCGTGGTGGCAGAAAGAAAAGTCTTGGGTCCTTGAGTAGAATTCAATGAATTCTTATACATGAGATGGTTTTGCTGGATATAGAAATCTGTGTTCATAGCCATTCCCAAGTTTGAGGGCACTGTTCCACTGTCTTTAAGGACTATTATTATGGGGCTGGAGAGATGGCTCAGCAGTTAAGAGCACTGGCTGCTCCTTCAGAGGACCTGAGTTCAGTTCCCGGCACCCACATGGCAACTAACAATTGTCCGTAACTCCAGTTCTAGGGGATCCAGCCCCCTTTTTTGGCCTCCATGGGCTTTGCACAACATGGGTGCACTTACACACATGCAGGCAATACACTCAAACACCTAAAATAAAAAAAAAATTAAAAAAGATAAGGGTGGATCTAGGTTTGTAATTTCTCAAAACTGATGCGGGAGAAATGTATTTCAATGAAAACATGGGTGAGGCCTGTCTCCACAGCACAGATCCAAGAGATATCAGGTCTACTCTTAAAAACTAAGAGTCAGGGTGTTTTGTTAGGGTCTTAATTGTAATGTGGTGTGGAAATGCCACCATCATAAATGGCTCAGTCTCCAATGCTGTGTATGTGTGTGCACTCAGTATAATGGGTTGGGTCTATCTAGCTATCATTAATTCAGTGGTGTCCCACTTAAGAAGGCAGGAACACCTGTCAGAACTAGATGTGTATGATTTCCAATTACATTCTACTGACTTTGCTACATTTCCGAATGAAGCCAAGTAAATCAAAATACCAGAAACATCTAGTTTGTCAGTTACTTTTATTTGAGATGTATCCTTTGACACGTGGGTGCTGTGCCAAGTACCCATCCAGGAACATTCTATGTAGTTATAGAACCCAGACACCAGACAGTCGTACTAAAAGCTGTTATTTTAGAAAGAAAACCTGGACATGCTGTGCTGTGCTAGATTCCAAATTCTCTCATTTCCTTCCTCAACTCATCTCAGCTGAACAGGCAAAGAAATAGAGAAAGCTCAGGGGAGGGACTTACCAGTGTGCGATCGCAGGTGCACCGTGAGCTGGCTGGAGTTGCGGCTGGCGTAGGGGCAGAGCTGGCACTTGTATGGGCGCTCGTCTGAGTGAATACGCAGGTGTTTCTTGAGGCTGCTGCTGTCCACAGCTGCGTATTCACACAGGTGACACTTGTGTGGCTTCACGCTCGTGTGGCAGCGCATGTGCATGGTCAGATTGTCCTTCCGGCTGAAGCACTTGTCACAGAACTCACACTTGTGTGGCTTGTCGCCTTCAAACACAGGAGGAGTCAAGGTTTTATGGCTTTTTTGAGTCAGGCTCTCCCTGTAGCCCCAGGTGACCTGGAACTATGTAGACCAGGCTGGCCTCGAACTCAGAGAGATCCGCCTGCCTCTGCCTCCCAAGTGCTGGGATTAAAGGCATGCACATGCAAACCTTTGTGGAATCCGTTCTCTCCTTTCACCTTCGTGTGGATTCTAAGATCAAACTCGAGTCTCAGGGCTCATTCAGCATGAACTTTTACCCACTGAACCATTGCGCTGGCCCTTGTTTTAATTTCATGGCGGTGTCTTATGGTGTTTTATGACACCTGTGACTCAGTCATACTTAGTCCATTTTCTGCCTTGCACTTGAACTTGCCCATCCATACTCTATGTTATTCAGTGTTTACTACAATTCCCTATGACACACTGTGGAACATCAGTTTTTCATATACTATAGGGCTCAGTGCCCAAGAACTTAACTCTTCTTGTTTGTTCTCCCTCCCTCCCTCCCTCCCTCCCTCCCAAATAGGGTCTCATATATAGAAGGCTGGTCTTGAACTCACTATACAAGGATGAACTTGAACTCCTGATCCTCTGTCCTCTGCCTCTGTTGTGCTGAGATTACAGGCAAGCGCCACCATATCAGGTTCATGTGGTGCTAGGGGTGGAACCCAGGGCTTTGTGCATGCTAGCAACTGAGCTAGCATCCCCATTTGGTCTGAGAACAACTTGCAGGAGCCAGTTCTCTCCTTCCACCATGTGAGTCCTGGGTATCAAACTCAGGCTTGGTGGCAAGCACTCTTACCAACAGAGCTGTGTCACCAACTCTAGTCTACTTTCTGTGTCCATGATCTTCTCAAGTTCTTACATGGGAAATGGCAGAATAAAGCGTTTTCCCTTCTGTGTCCCCACCAACTACTCAGTCTATTTCTCGTACATATTTGAAAGTAAGTTAGCTTTTTTTCTTGCACAATGAACTGGCATGTAAGGCATTAAAAAACAATATAACTTTAGAACAAAGGTAATAAATATAAGGAGAACTCAATATACATTCAAGGGTTTTGTTTTTGTTTGTTTTGAGACAAGGTCTCACTGTGAAGCCCTGGCCTGGACTCTCTATGTAGACAACTTGGCCTCAAACTCAGAGATTTGCCTCCTGAGTGCTGGGATTAAAGGTATGGGCCACCACACCTGGCTAATATTGTTTTTTTAAAAATAATATTTTTTTGATCTTTTTGAGACAGCGTCTCCTTGTAGCCCTGGTTGACCTAGAACTTGCTATGTAGACCGGGCATGTACCACCATGCCTGGCTTAAAATCATTTCCTATTACATCATTTATTTACTCTGTGTTTGTGCACATGCCATGGAGCATGTGTGGAACAATTTGAGGGAGCCTGTTCTCTCTTTCCACCAGGTAGATCCTGAGATCCAGCTCAAGTTATCGGACTCAGCAGCAAGTGCCTTCACCTGTAAGCCATCTCGCTAACTCTTTTTTTCCCTTCTGGAGATAGGATTTCATGTAGGCAAGGCTGGCCTGGAACTCGCTATGTAGCCGAGGATGACCTTGAACTCCTGGTTCTCCTGCTTTGGCTGCCTGAGTCCTGAGGTGACAGGCATGCACCACTATGTCTGCTCACCCTCTTACTGCCTCTCCATTAAGAGAGATTAATGAACTAGGTCTGTTGTGACCTTGACCTGAAGGAAGGAGTTTAAGTTCTCATCTATGAGAAAAGCCATCGGTCTATCTCAGTCCTGCCTCTTTACCTCAAGGACAGACCTTCTTTAATTTCCTGTATTCCTAGCATGCTTGTAGCATACCAATGCAACATTAACAGAGAGGTCAACCTTAGTCTATTGTGGGCATGGCAGGACTCAGGTCCTGGTTCACCCACTAGATGGCAGCAGTGTAGCCCAGGTGCAGGATAAGAGCTCAAGTTATTGCCAGGACAGAGTTGCTGGCCCAGAAGTGGCCTCCAGGGGTGGTGTTGGCAGATCCTCCACCCCCCACCCCTATACTCCTGCTGACTCCAGGCTGCCTTGTCTGCTGAAGCAAAGGACAAACGCTTCCTCACTCAGAGGAGGAAACTGATCCATCATCCTCTGGTTTCTATGGCACCTGCCCATTTGCGATAGAGACCAGCAGAGGTCCAGAGAGCTGTGTGGTCCCTGTGCGGGTGTGTCACAGGAGCTTGGCAGTGGCTGCTGTCCTTGAAACTGTGCCTCACCCCTCCCGATGCTCAGGGAACACTATTAAACTCTAAACTCATTTCATTAGATCACAAGAACACTGCTCCGGGGCCACAGCCTGAGGGAGGGATGCTGTGGGTTCTTGGGACCTCAATCCTGTTTCCTGTGAAGAGATTCAGAGAGGGAGACCACCTGCCTTGTCCCAGAGATGGCAGAGCTTCTCAAATTGTGCTTGTAGAGGAATTAACCTGGTTACATAAAAGCCATTCAACTTGGTTTCTATAGGCTAACAACTGGGATTAAAGGCATGTGCCACCACGCCCGGCTGCTGTTTTGGATTTTGAATACCAGTTTGTGTAGCACGTCCACCACCACAGAATAGCCAGATCGGCCCTAGATGGCAAAGGACAAGAGCAACAGCATGTCGCTTACAGAGCATGTTCAACCCAGGGCCTGCAAGCCTCGTGTGGCCCCATGTGGCCATGAAGAGCTATGAATGTAGCCCAACACAAAATCATAAAATTACTTAAAACATTTAAGAGATACATACAGATATGTAGAAATATATATATATATATATACACACATATATATGCACGTATGTATTTGTAACTCAGCTGGGTGAGTCTTGAGCATGGACTTTGTACATGATGCTGTGTTATGATGTCAGGAAGCTGGACATCAGGGCCTGTAAGCAGGACCTGGCCTGTAAGCCAGACCAGGACATTCTTTTTCTTAGCAGCTCTTCCCTCTCCATCCTCCAAAACTGGCTACCCAAAGAAGGTGTTTGGAGGCAGAGGCTAAGACACTTGCAGCCGGTAAGTGCAGCCTAAGCTTTGTGAACACAATCCCCATCTTCCCTTTGCTTCCTGTTCCAAGCCCACCCACCAAGCCTAGTGGAACAAGACAGAGACCATCTCTGTCTCCCTCATTCCTGGTACCTAGTACTTATCACCTCTGCTTCCTTGTTTCCCTCCATTGTTAAGTGAACAGATACCTACCTGTGTGGATTCTTAGGTGACGGTCCAAATCTTTCATGCCATGCACGGTTTTGAAATGACAACCTCGACAAGAAGAAAAGACACCCGTGAAAATATTTAGCCCCTGAGAGATGGCTCAGTGGTTTAGAGTGTGTACTGCTCTTACAGAGGACCCAAGGTCAGTTCCCAGCATCCACATTAGATGGCTGACAACTGTAATTCTGGCACCAGGGGATCTGATGCTCTCTTCTGTCCTCCTTGGGCACCTGCACTTGCACGCACGTGTACTCTACCATGCACCCACATACACACATAATTAAAAAAATAAAACAGCTGGGTATGGTGGTTGCACACCTTTAATCCCAGCGCTGGGGAGGTGGAGGCAGGCAGATCTCTGTGAAATAGAGGCTAGCCTGGTCTATATAGTGAATTCCAGGCTACCTCCAGCTACAGGGAGACCCTGTCTCTGAAGGAGCAAAAAAATACATATACATTTTTTATATGTGTATGAGTGTTATTGCCTCATGTGTGTAAGTGCACCCATGTTGTGTAGTGCCCGAGGTGGTCAGAAGGCAGTGGATACCCTGGAGTTACAGACTGTTGTTGGCTGCTATGTGGGTGCTAGGAATCAAACCTGGGCCCTGTGCAGCCAGTGCTCTTAATCACTGAGCCATCTCTCCAGCCCCTCACTTAACTTTTTTTTAAAAAATACTATTATTATTGTATGTATACGTGTGTATTCCCTGCATGTATGTAAGTATACCCATGCTGTGCAAATTATTCGGAGGTCAGAAGAGGGCGTCAGATTCCCCTGGAACTGGAATGACAGATGGTTGTTAGTTGCCATATAGGTGCTGGGACTCAACTGGGAGGTGAAGGTCAGCTTGGTCTACATAGTGAGTTCCAGGCCAATTGGCATTACAGGGAGACCCTGTCTCTGAAAAAAAAAAAAAAAAAAGGTTTATTGGAACACAATCCATCGTAAGTCAAGGAGGAGCCTCCGGAACTTGCTATGAATCAGACATATGGGAGTCTGTTGTGTGAGAGTCTCCCATGGAGCTCTGAGGCTGCAGGCCTCACCGAGGCCCTGAAGAGTGTATGTGCCAGTGCTGATCCCCCCCACCCCCACCCCAGGAGACCTTGGAGAGTAATGCAGAGCTGCAGAGCCGGGTAGGGGCTCCGAGCGTCAGGTTTACTCTTTACCTGGATAGCAGCAGTTGAAAGTCCTTTCCCCAAGGCTGGCCATTTGTTCCTTTGCTTCCAAGGGTAGGACAACTGCAGGGGCCTTTGGGAGCTCACTGTCTTCAGGAGAGAGGTCTGTTGGTTTTGAGACATCAGTGGTACCTAGCTCAGGAGCTGAAACAGAAGTAGGAAACTTAATTTCTCAATGACAATCATTATAAGTGAATCTGAGACTAAGGTAGCTTTGAGTTTTATTTCATCTTTCACCAGCTCTTCCCAAAGTATTTTAAAATATGAAAGCCAGAGCCGGTGATGTAGCTCAGCTGGCAGAATGCTTGCCTAGCATGCATGAAGCTCTGGGCTCCATCCCCAGCACTGCATAAACCAGGTATGGTGGCACACACCTGTAATACCAGCACCAGGGAGGTGGAGGCAGGAGGATCAGTAGTTCAAGGTCATCCTTGGGTACATAGTGAGTTTGAGATTAGTCTGCACTAAGATCCTGCTTCATACAAAGCAACATCCCCCCCCTCCAACAAACTAGCAACCCCAAAATGAACAAAAAAGAAAGCCAAGTTGTGAATGGTGAAACATGCCTTTAATTCCAGCACTCAGGAGGCAGAGTCAGGTGCATCTTTGTGAGACTGAGGACAGCCTGGTCTACATAGCCAGTTCTAGGCCAGCTTGGGCTATAGGGAGACACTCCAAAAAAAGCCCCCCCCCCCCCCGCAAAAGAAATCGAAGTCCTAACACCCCTGGGGAAATTACAGGACACTAAAACACTTCTCAAATAATGCAAAGATCTAACATTTACTTTGTCGGATTAGAGACAAATGTCTCACTAAGAACTGTTAGCCTGGCCTGGAATTTGCTATGTAGACCAGACTGGTCTTGAACTTGTAACACCTCTCTTTCTCTACCGCCCTGAGTGCTGGGATTACAGGCACGTATGCCAAGCCTGTAGTTTTAAAAGCCATTTCCTATTCGCTATAGGCTAGTACTTTTTATAACATGTAATAAACATGAATCACAAGAAAAGCAAAATAAGACAAAAAATAAAAGCCCAAATGTTATTAGATCCAACAGAGAGCTGGAGGCCTCGGCATGTCGTTGCCCCCCACCTTTACGTTTATTTTATGTGTAAGTGTGCACACACTCATGGAGGTCAGAAGACAACTTTGGGATTCAGTTCTCTCCTTCTACCACATGGGTTCCAGGGATCAAACTCATGGGAGCAGTACTGAGGGTTAGGGGCTCCCCTAATCTGAGCATCTCTGAGCACCATCCTCAAGCCACCTCCATCTTGGGTGAATCCCTCCCCCAGGTCCCACTGCAGACCCAGGGATGAGGGATGAGAGCTGGGGCAGATTCCAGGAAATGAGGTTCATAAGGCACCCCTGGGAAATTCTGCCCCATTACTCCAGGCTCTGGATCCCCTGAATGTGGTCCAAAGAGCAGCAGCACTCCGTCCTTTGTTGGGAATGCCCACTCCAGATGGAATAGGTATGTGCTCTGTCCTCATGGCACTCCGGGTGTTTCCCACACAGCAGGTTTAAGAACCAATGTTGTTCTTGGCATTTTAATGAAGTTTCTCACACACCTGTGTAGCCACTAGTTGCATGGTTTTATCCATGGATGGAAAGTTTGAAGATCTTCTAAGGCACAAAGACCCCGATTGTGAACAGTGCAGATGCAAGACATTTGAAGCAAAGGATTAAGAATGTGTGTTTGGTTGGGCATGGTGGCACACACCTCTGGCTACCCTGGGGAGGCAGAGGCAGGAGGATGGCAAGTTCAAGGCCAGGACGGACTATATAGCAGGTTCAAGTCTAGCCCGAGAAACAGTGAGATCCTGACTCAAAAAAGAATATATGGGGCGGGGGAGCACTAGAGAGATGGCTCAGTGATTAAGCACATTTGCTGTTATTCTAGAGAACTTGGGTTTGGTTCCCAGCACCCATATGGTGGCTAACAACGGTCCATAACTCCATTTCCAGGGAATCCTACACTCTTCTGGCCTCTGTGGGCACTGCATGCATTTGGTACACTTACATACATGCAGATAAAACACTCATACAAAAAATAAAAATAAATCTTAAAGATCATACAGGAGTTGGAGAGATGGCTCAATTAGTAAAGCGCTTGCTGTGTACGATTTGGATGTGAGCTCAATCCCCAGAACCTACTTTAGTAAAAGATGATTGTGTGGCAGCATATACTTGTCATCCCAGTACGGGGGAGGCAGAGACAGGTCAAGACCTGACTTGAAAAACAAGGTGGACAGTGCCTGAGGAATGACACCCAAGGTTGACCTCTGGCCTCTATGTACACATCTACACATGCACCACGAGTATGTACACACACACACACACACACACACACACACACACACACACGAGTTCAAGTTCTTAGGGATGCAGTCAGCTCTTCTGCTATCCTGGGGACTTCCTGAGTTTCTATGATGGAGCTGGAGACTATCAAAGACAGCTGGATGGATGCTTGGGGATAAAAGATTAAACATCTTTTCCACTTTAGTAAGTTTCTGCAAACCATCAAAAACAAAAACACTGAGAAACACACCTCACAGCCAGCAGCTGTCAAATGTGAGCGCGCATGCATGTTACTAGAAGGGTGTGCTGCGCACAGGTGGTTTGAGTCCACCTTTAGAATGCCTCACTGAGTAGAGCTCTGGCAGAGCTGGGGATGGTGTTCACTTCTAACAAGTTCCCAGTTGCTGCTGCTGTTCTGGGGGTGACACTTTGGGAACATCTCCTTGATGAGAAATGAAGAAAAAGGATCTGAGATGCTGAAGGGTGGCAGGATGCTGGAAGTTACTAGATTAGAACACTATTCATCTGTAGCTCTCGGGGAGAGGAGCAGAAACCTTGCACTACTTAGCCATTCACATAGTAAAACAGACAAATACCCGAGAAATTTTAAGTTTACCATAGCTATGTTAGACTGAAAATTGAAATTCAAATGAGGTGCCAGATAAGGGTTGGGAAGCCAGCTAGTGAGCTACAAGTCCCAATTCTATCACTAGAGCTGTGTGAGTCTCAGCAAGTTATTCAACCTCCCTGTACTTCTCCCTGAACTGAAAAAAGAGATTATGCCTCTGATCTCATTGAAATCATCACTATATATGAAGAACCTTGTGCACAAATCAGATGTATTTGTTTCATTCAGGCCTGGGAGCAACCAGATTCTCAAGTGAAGGGGGGAAAAAAAAAGCATGTTTCTGATGTAAACTTCAAAGGAGGCCAAAGGAGGTTGGTGGGTTAAAGCCGTCAAAACTGCCTCCTATTGGAAGCACATGGAGGGGTGAGGGCTTCTCTGAAGCCTTGGGCTATTGAGGAACCAAGGTGAGTGAGGCCAGGATTCCCCCTGCAGGGGTTGAGGCCCTATGAGTCTGGGAGTGTGGACTGTTGCAGGCTAGGGTTTGCACAGGGAGCCTTTCTGCCCACTAAGAAGCCGTTTGTTTTAGTGTGCCTTCAATTGCTGTGACAAAACACTCTGACCAATACCAACTTGAGGAGGAAAGGGTTTATTCAGCTTACATCTCCTGGGTCACAGTTCATCACTGAGGGCTCATCACCGAGGGAGCCCAAGATAGGAACTCAGGGCAGGAACCTGGAGGCAGGAGCTGGAGCACAGGCCAAGGAGGAATGCTGCTTACTGGCTTGGCTTGCTCCCCTGGCCTGTGCACAGACTGCTTTCTTATACAGTACAGAACAACCTGCCCAGGGGTGGCACCACCCACAGTGGGCTGGGCCCTCCCACATAACAACCAAGATGATGCCCCACAGACCTGGCCATAGGCCAGTCCAATGGAGGCTAGGCCCCAATTGAGGCTTCCTCAAGTTGACAACTTAAAGCTATCCAGCACACAGCTGGTGTCCCTCTGAGTTGTTTTCCGGCCCCTGTATTATTTCACTGGCTGATGGGCAGGCTACCATTTGTTGGTGGTGATGGTATTTTTTTTTGACAAGGTCTCACTATGGAGCCCTGACTGGCCTGGAATTCCTCTGCATACCAGACTAGCCTTGAACTCACTAAGATAAAAAGCAAGGGCCACCACTCAAGGTGCAGTCTGCCAACTGAGTGGCTTTCCCTAGATTTTCCTCCCAAGCTCCCTCATTCGCAAGGCTCAACCTTAAAGGTGGCTCAACCTTGAAAAACTAGAAAGGCCCCTTGCTGGGTGTCACAGATCTTAGAGATGATTAAAAACCCATCAGTCTCAAGACTGCCTTTTTTGAAGCCAGCCAGAACTCAGGGAGAAGGCACCTGGGGTCCCCCAGAGCTCACACCACTCCCCTTCCCTTCCCTTGGCTCCCTAACCCAGGGAGCCTTTTACAGGGCTAAAAAAGTAGCCCAGCTCACTGCACCTGACTTTGACCTCCAGCCTGAGGTTACTCTTACTCAGTAATTCACTGCCCTCTGCCATGAGATGGGCTCTTCAGTTCCAGTCTACCCAAGCCTGAGCAGGGTCTTTGCATTCTGGTCTTAACTATACTACGATACACCATATTTGTTTTTGGAATAGCATTCCTTCCAGATGTGCATACCTGAGCCCACCATCAACCTTCCTGGAGGTTGCTGTGTGTGTGTGTGTGTGTGTGCAGATGGGGTGTGAGAATCTAGAATACAAGGTACTACCCCCTTGGCTACCAGGAAGTTTGAGGGGGGCGCTGGGAGGAGAAAGAGAAAGTCCAGTCAAAACTCCTCTCCCTACCCACTAGCAGAAAGTCTGAGCGCAAGAAAATCAAAAGGAAAGCCCTTAGAAATGCAGTCCTAACCCCTCAGGGCTGTGTGCCTGAGGGTGACTGAGGAATGTGGCGACTACAGAGGTTCCCCATAACAGAGAGTGTGTGGTGTGTGTGTGTGTGTGTGTGTGTGTGTGTGTGTGTGTGGGTGTGTGTGTACCAGAGGTGTCTTCTTGCCACAGCCCAACCCAATTCAGCCAGTATCCAAGAAGCAGCCTGGGTGAGTTTTCTGGGTCCGTGTCACCCCCTCCCCTCCTCATCCTCCCTGGCTCCAGGCCACTCAGAGCAAAAGATGCAGGGTCCTCTCTGGGGCCTGGGAGGTGCCCCCCAATCCTCCCCCCTCTTCTCGGAGGCATCCTGACCTCTGCCGGCTCCAACCTCTCTCCTTCCCAGCTGTGTGCGAACGGTTCC